TACTCCCCCACAGCAGAGCACAGGGCAACCACCTCGTTGCTTTCTTAGAGCCCTGCTCAGAAGCACATTCTCTGACTCCGGCAGGGCCATTCACTGTATTCCGTTCAACACATCTTGGCTAAGATTCTTAAGGGAGCAAATAACAGAAACAAATTTCTAGAAGTTTCATCTAAGAAAAGGACTGTATCAGAGCATCTCACAGAATCGATTGCTTGTTTGACCATGGCATGAGAGGGTCCGAGCATCTCTCTCTTCACCAGAGTCCTCTATCTGCTCCTCATCTCAAGTGTTTCATATCAAACTCCTGATTTCTAGGCTGCAGACCACCAACAACTTAGCAACCAGGGAAGGCAGGTTATGTTACACAGATGTGGCTGTGGAGCCCTCCTGCGGGCACTAGTTGGGTAGTTCTCAGAGAGGAAATATTGGTAGCTGGGAAGTGAGTTCAAGTCACAGGGAGAAGTACCAGGAATTTGGGGACAGGTGTCTGGAAACTCTAGGGAGACCTGGGTGGCTTAAAAAATGGACATTTATTTCTCACTCTTCAGGCCTGTGCACAGTGTGAGGTTGAAAAGCCAGTGATGTGTGTGATTAAAGCTCATTTCTGGTCTGTGTCATAGTTGGCTTCAGTTGTCAACTTGACACACCTGGGAAGAGGGAACCTCAATTGGAGAATTTCCTCTATGGGACTGGCCTGTGGGCATGTCTGTGAGGTATTTTCTTGACTGTTGAGTGATATGGGAGGGCTCAGCCCACCAAAGGTGGTGCCACTCCTGGGAAGGTGGTCCTGAGTTGTATGAAAAAGCAGGCTGAGCACAGCCCAGAGGAGTGAGCCAGTAAGCAGAGTTCCTCCCTGCCTGGGGGATCTGTGCTTCAATTCCTGCCTCTAGGTTCCTACCCTGAGTTCTTCCCCTGCCTTCCCTCAAAAATGAACTATGGTCAGGATATATAAGCCAAATGAATAACACCCCCCCCCCGCCTCAAGTTGGTTTTGGTCAGAGTGTTTTATCGTGGCCATAGGACACTAACTAGGACAGTGGGTAATGTTCTCATAGAGCAGCAAGAAGCAATGAACTTTCAGGACACTTTCAGATCACTAATCCCAGACTGGCTCATCCCACCCTCATGGCATCATCCTAATAAACCACCAAAGAGCCCCCTTTCTACATTGTCACATTAAGGGGTATCAACATATGAATTTAGGGAAGACACAAGAATTCATCTCATAATGCTCTGTTCTAGAAAACAAATTGATTACTGGAATAGATCAGCCTTCCTAAGAGTTCTCAAGTGTGCCAAATTCTACACTACCCAGAATTCCACTCCTTGCTGCTGCTGCTGCTGCTGTTGCTGGTGCTGCTAACTGAACCATTGAAGATGCCAAATTATAATGCTGTCTTTCTTTCATGTTAATTATAGACAAATTCAATTTTATTTCTACCTAAAGAAGATTCAAGTTTAAATGACTTTATTTAAAGGATGGCATTTTAAAATAATTTTTATGATCTAAGAACAAAATTCTACTTAATTTTTTGCCTCTTTTTTCAATATCTTACTCTGTAGCCCAGGCTGGCCATGAACTTGTGATCCCCATGCCTCCACCTTCCAAGGTGTGCACTACACCTGACAAGAAAGAACAAGGCTTATTTTATCTTTGAGTGGGTAGGGAAGCATGCAACAGGCAGCTTACAGAGGTTCTGGCAACCATGGACTGCTGAAAACATCCTCTGCAAACCAGACTGGACCCACTTTCACTGGTGAAATATACTCATCACACGTGTGAGAGCTAGGAAGCAGGTGAGCAAAGGTGCAGGCACAAATTTGTTCTCTTGAGATCTTAATGTTCCTGAATTTTATGTTCCTATATTGAGAAATAGTCTCTCCCACAATTGAAATAACGTTTCCCATAAAGACAGTGCATGCCTAACTCTGTGTTGAGGGGTTTATGTTTTTTATCACACAGACCTGCCTTTTATTAGTCTCATTTTACAGATGGGGAAACTGAGGATTTTTGGAGTTGCAAAAGTTGTTCTGGGTCCACCACAGGCTGACTGATGAACCTGATCTGTGCTGTACCTGAGTGCAGAGCCTGGCACTAAATAAATTCTGAGACAGTGCCTCACAGGAGGCATACTCACAGGAGGGATGTTTTTAGAACTTTGCCAGCTTTATAGGGACAGGCCTCAGCTGTCTGTTGAATCAGCAGGAATTCCAAGGTCTGTACTCTAAGCTAGAAACATTGATTTTTAAATTTTATTTATTTTTATTTTATGTGTATGAATGTATTTTAATGTGTACGAGATGCCTGCATCTATGTAAGTGCACGATGTGTGCAATACCCACAGGAGGGCAGAATAGGGCGTCGGATCCCCTGGACCTAGAGCTAGAGTTAAGGACGGTTGTTAGCCACCATGTGGGTACTGGGAATCGAACCTGGGTCCTCTGCAAGAGCAGTCAGTGCTCTTAACTGCTGAGCCATCTCTCCAGTCCTGGTGTTCTTGCCCTTTCAAGCCAGATCAGCAGAACACCCAAAGACTTCCCACTGTGCCCAGGGCAAGGGGTTCTCACGTCACTCAGGCTGTGGGAAGGAACTCTGAGGAGTGATGATGAGACCCTGGGTAGCTGGGTCACTGAGTACAAATACACATTGACTGATGCTCTTAGCTTCCAGAAGGTTCTCCATCTCAGCTTAGACACTTGTTGACAGCAGAGAACACCCAGCTTCTAAACGCCTGAGACTTAGGTCCATATCCTGAGCCATCCTTGCAAACCATGGCACAAGATTCAGGGAGTGTCAGAGATCAGAAGGGCTCTGGACTGTCTAGTTCAATCCTCTCGCTCTACAGGTGGCCCCCAGAGGGAGAGGAACTTTCCAGCAGTCAGAACTGAAATCTAGATTTCCTGGTTCCCCGGGTGGTGCTGTGTGCTCACCACCTGTTGTCCACTAGGTGTCAGGACACCAAATGCAGCTGCATGTGTGAAAAGGCACTGAGGAAGTGAGCCCCTGTTGGAAGGCGCTCCTTCAACACACAACACACATGCAGATGAATGAACGAATTAATTAGTTAATTCGAGAAGAGTTTCTCATGGCAACGCTCTTCCTCTGACAGCCATGTAGACTGTCCCTGAGCTGCTGGAACTCACAGAAGGTGGCTGTCTGTAGACAGAGCTAGCTCTTTGGAAACAAAACAGTGACAACGTGGAAAATGGCTTAGTGAAGCTTCTAAACAGTTACATAATCGTCACGATGTGGAAACTGGGTACAATGTGCAACTAAGGAAGAAAACAATCATTTTGAAAATTGAAACTACCATGATTTCAACTACACAGGAGTTGTGGCAGGACAGTGCTCCAAATGGCTCACAATTATTGAGAATCCACTTCCCCCTGAGACAGGGTGGGTGTGAAACCTGTACACAGGCTATCCCATTCCATCCACAGGAATACTAGGCACCATGGGAGACTTCAGCCCAGGAAGGCCTGGCTCCAGGACCTACATATGCGCGTGTGTGTTGTGTGCACACATGCATATGTAGGATTCACATATGTTAAACAAGTTCTCCACTCCTGAGGTATGCTTCCAGACCCCAAACTTATACTCAGTATATGTGTGTGTGTGTCTGTGTGTTATAAGCATGTGTGTGTATGGAAGGGTGCACACACCCATGCATGTGTGTGGAAGCCAGAGGTTAACATCATATTTCTTCCTCTATCACCATCCACTTTATTATTTTTTGAGACAGTGTCTCTTGCTGAACCAGGAACTCACCCCTTTAGCTAGATTAACTGGCCAGTGAGCCCCTAGAATTCTCCTGTCTCTGGGGGTTTACGGACACATATCACCAAGCCCAGATCTTTACATGGGTGCTAGAGATCCAAATTCAGGTCTTCATACTCCTTTTGGGGAAAAAATACACACACACACACACACACACACACACACATATTTATATATGGTAAGGGGCACTCTAATGCCGTGGTGCAAATGTGGAGGTCGGAAGACAACTTGTGGGAGTTCTCTCCTTCCACTATGTGGGTCTAGGGGATCACACTTGCCTTGGCAGCAAGTGCCTTTATCCCCTGAGCCATCTTGCCTGCCCCTTAGCACCTACACTCTTAACCACTGATTTGAATCTGTAGCAAGTTTAGAACCTTTTTTCCATTACTTCTAAGAAAAAAAAACCCTCACAATGGTTACTGAGTACTAAATAGTCTGGAAACAAACACCAAAATCTGAGTCTTCATACAGGGGGAAAAAAACTTGGTGCCAGATGGGGGCGCCAAAGGACACAGGGTAAGCAAGAGAAGCTGCCTTCACACACACACACACACACACACACACACACACACACACACACTGTGTACATCCCGCGGCAGACACGCACAGCTGCTGCTACGCCTGGAACCGTCCCCCAGTCTCTGAGCCATGGACATTGCCTTTGGCCTCATAACCCCAGATACCAGTGATTCTGTTCACCCGCTCCTCCTACCCAGCCATTAGACTGAACTTTAAAGAGCTGGGAGTCCCTTTGGCCCTGTGTTCTCTTCATGCAGGAGAAGGGGAGACCAATCCCCAGCCACCTCTTTTTCATCTGTATTTTTGAGTCTTGAATACATTTGCTTTGGACGGCTAGGAAGTGATATCAGGGGAGGTATCTGGTCCTCATATTGCTTTCTAGGGTAAAGGGATGTTGAGATCCCATGAGGAAGAGGGACACACTTTGGGTAGAGAATCCAGCCTAACCACTCAACTGGAATAGATCCTCAGTGGCGCTCTTCTCTGACCCCAAGTTCTGTAATATTCCAGTGGCCAGTGCTGATACATAGCATTGAATTGTGAAATGCCCACCTCACCAACAGCTGCAGTGGAAAAGAACATTGTCCCCCTAGATCCCATGGCCCAGAAGGCCTGGGATGCCCAGCCAAGAGGCAGTGGCATGCTGTTCAAAGTTCTGCCCACCTGCAATGAGAGTTCTGTGCTACTGTGTTGTATGGCATGGTTTAATGAGAATCTGAACACTTCCTACTATTAGCAGATGGCCTCAGGGCAGCTGCCCCCACCCCAACCCACTTTGTTGTCACCATCTCGAGGGGGGATGGACTTCCTCATCTGCATACACAGCACCTCGTCAATATAGATGGTGTTCTCCTTGACCTGGATCTCTTCCTGCAGGGCCAGCTGCCTGCGGTACAGTGCCTTCAGCTCTATCTGAGCCTGAGCTAGGGTTTCCTTCAACCTGGGAGAAGGAGAACATGGGGAATCATTGCTCTCGTTGTGTGGAGGTGGGGCAGGGGAGAGGTACCTGAGTATTCAATGTAGAAGTCAAATTGATAGTGCTCTTCCCTCTGCTCCTCAAGACAGAGCTTCCTACTGGAGGACACAGCCAGGTTTATAACATAGGCACTGTTGTGCAAGGTCAATATATGCTAGATACAGTGGTATACACCTGTAATCCTGGCACTCAAGATGCAGAGAGGAGAGGACGATGAGCTAGAAGCCAGCCCGGGCTACACAGTAAGCTCAAGGCCAGCCAGAACTACTTAGCAAGACCTGGTCTCAAAATAACAAGATTTATGGATATAGTGAGCTGAGCTTGCATAGCATGTGCAAGGCCTGGGCTTTTATTTCCAGCACTGTCAGAAAAGAAAGAAAGCCAGTATTTAAGACAGTAGGTTTGGGGGCTGGAGAGATGGCTCAGCAGTTCAAAGCACTGGCTACTCTTGAAGAGGACCTGGAATCGAGTCCCAGCACCCACATGGCAGCTAACAACCATCTGTAATTCCAGTTCCAGGGGATTAGACACACTCTTCTGACCTCTGTGGGCATTGCATGACACAGGTGCACTTACACTCATGCAGACAATACACTTATATACATAAATAATAAATAAAATATTTTTTAAGACAGCATGTTTTATCTAGACATCTGGATTAGGCTGGGCATGGTGGCTTGAGCCTTTAATCCCAGCCCTCAGGAGGAAGAGGCAGGTGGATCTCTGTGAGATTGAGGCCAGCCAGGTCCACATAGTGACTTCCAGGAAGACTGGGATTAGGGAGACCCTGTTGAAAAACAAAATGAAACAAAACAATAAACATCTGGATTTGGATTTTAGCCAAGTTTCTTGGGATTGGGATTTGTTTCACACCTGGCAGCAGCTTCGACTGAAATTAGTGGGTCTGGTCTGTAGGAGGGCAACCTTTCAACATTACAGAGTCAGCATCACCCTATGCCTCGCTTCTACTTGCAATCCAAGCTGGAGTCCTGCCCCAGCAGCTGCTGGCCCACCTGGAAACATTATAGTTGATCTCTTGCACCTCCTTGATCAGCCGGTACTGAGCAACATCACGACACAGCTCCACATTGGGCCGGTGTGTCCTGGTCTCTAGGCGTGTGTGAGCCACCTTGGCAGGACCTTCTTGATCAGTAATGGCTTTTTCAAGAACCATGATGTTTTTCTCCTGGGAAGCAATCTCTTCCATAACCTGGGAAAAGGATTGGCATAGGTGAGGCCAGGTTGTGCTCCTTGGAGCTCAATGGCATGAGGCAGGGCTGTCATGATCATGCACATTCGGAAGGGCAGACCTCACATTTTCACCTAAGCAGAATCCCTGAGAGTCTGATTGCTCTTCCCCAAAGCAGGGATGCTCACCAGACCACGGGACCAAGAGAAAGAATGGACCTGACTGACCATCATTGCCTCATCACCCACAGACTGTGTGAGTTCCCTAAGACTGTCCTCAGCAAAAGCTTGGCCAGTGTGGTGATTTGAATGAGAAACATCTTGCATAGGCTCATGTATTTGAATACCTTGTCCCCAGTTTGGGGTGCTGTTGGGGAAGGTTCTAGAACCTTTAGGAAATGGAATCTTGAGGGAGGAAGTACTTCACTTGGGTCAAGCTTTGAGGGTTTATAGCCTCACTCCACTTCCTGTTCTCTCTCCTCCCCTCACCCCCACCCCAGTTTCCCCAGCCTCCTGCTCCTGCCACTATGCCATGCCTTCCTAGCCATAATAGACACTAAGTTAATTTTGATAGAGCACTTTATGACAGCCAAGGAATGGTTCACACTATTGCTCAAAGCTATCTGTCTATTCAGGTACAATGTGCCTTTTATAGGGAATAGAAATCTCTCTTCTTTCCTTGTAGGCCCCCTCAAGCACCAATTCTATCACTAGGGATTCTAGGGAAGCGTGATGATGCCATCTGAGCCTTCTTGGCAGTGTGTGCATGTGTGCTTGTATGTTCATGTGTGTATAGGTGCACATGCAAGTCACAGGTCAGTCTTGGGTACCATGCTTCAGGAGCTGTTCACCTTTATATTTTTTTTAGACAGGGTCTTCCTATTGGCCTGAAACTCACCAAGCAGGTGAGGCTGACTGGCCAGCAAGCTCCAGGGATCCACCTGTGTCCACCTCCCACTTCCCCAGCACTTGGATTATGAGCACATATCACCACACTTGCTTTTATTTAAGATCAATCTCGGGTTCTTATGCTTGCAAGGCAAGCCCTTTACTAACTGAGCTAACTACCCAGCCCCTTTATTGGTATTTTGAGAGTGACTGTGCACACAGAAAGACACTTATAAATTACTCAGTTTTCTTAGATTAGTATTTCATAAGGGTTATGAGGGTGGATCAATGTACAACACTTGCCTAGCATATGTAAAGCCCTGCATTCAGTACCCAGCACTGACAAAAAACAATTTTCCCTAAGTTTTTTTTTAATTTTGCATCAAGAAAATTTCCACACATAATGAAGAATGGGTAGAATAGTGGACCTTGTGTGCCTACATTAGTTTGAACAGTGACCAACAGACAGCCAATCCTGTTTCACCACCACCCCCCACCGCCTATCAGCCTAGCTATTTTAAAGCAAATCCTAACTATTATATCATTTTAGACTCAAATACTTGAGTATACGTTGTTAAACTCTAAGGACTCAGTTTTTCATCTAACATTACTACAACATGTTTATCACACCAAAAGAGAGAGAGCGATTCCTTACTAGCATCTAATATCTACTGTTCAAATTTCCAGTCATCTATATTTTAAGAGTTGGCTTATTCATGGGGCTGGAGAGATGGCTCAGAGGTCAAGAGCACTAGTTGTTCTAGCGTAGGACACAAGTTCAAGTTCCAGCACCCACATGGCAGCTTAAAAACCATCCATAACTTCAGTTCCAGGGAATCCAATGCCCTCTTCTGACCTCCACAGGCACCATACAACATGGATGCACTTACAAGCACACAGACATAGCACTCATACACAAAAATAAAGTTGGCATATTCAGATTAGACACCAAATGACTACATATTGCACTTGATTTTCTGAAGCTGTTTCTTCAAATTCTTAATCTTCCTCTATAGATATTATTCTATTTTGAATTTAGCAAATACTAATCACCTTCACTTAATTTTAATTGATAGTTACCTCTACATTAGCTAAAACCTAAATGTCTATTTAGAGTAGCATTTATAAATTGACATATATGTATATACTTGAATTATCTTAATAAACAAAGTCTTCTATCAACCTAATGAGTTAGAAACATGAATCTTAAGTTCTCCTAGATGTTCTAATGCTGTCTTCAAAATAAAATTTCAGGGCCAGTGAGATGGCTCAGAGAGTAAAGATGTTTGCCACCAAGGCAGAGGACCTGAATTCAGTTCCTGAAACCCACATTGTGAAAGGAAATGACCAAGATCCACAAGTTATCCTCTGGTCTCCACATGCACACAAATGAATGAAAGCACGCACATAACAAATAAATAGTGTAAAAATAAATAAAATTTCAACTTAAGATCATGACACTAAATCAAATATTTAATTACATATTTTTAAATACATGGATTGGGGGAGCAGTTTTGAGACAGGGTCTCCTTGTAGCCCCAACTGGCCTGGAACTTGCTGTGTAGACCAGGCTGGCCTTGATCTCACAGAGATCTGCCTACCTCCGCCTCTGCCTCCCGAATGCTGGGATTAAAGGCATGCACCACCATGTCCTGTAAATACAGAGATTTTTTTAATTTATGTGTTTTAGCTAGTGTCTCATATAGTTGAGGTTGCCCTAGAATTCCATATTCTCTTGCCTCTGTCTCCTAAGTACTGGGATTATAGGCATGTACCACACTATACCTGGCTAAATACAGAAATTCTTGGGGCTGGAGAATTAGCTCAGCTGTTAAGACCACTGGCTGCTCTTGCAGAGGACTTGGATTTGCCTTTCCAGCACCCTCATGATGGCTAACAACCATGCACAACTCCACTTCCAGGGGATCCAATGCCTTCTGGCTTTTGTCAGCTTTGCATACACAGGTGCATTTACGTACATGCAGGCAAAACACTCATGCGCATAAAAATATATTAAAAATTAGAAATACAGAAATTCTTTAAACATAACTTCCAGTAGTAAGCAAACTTTCCCAGGGACTAAATATAGTTTGTCATCTGTTTTTGTACAAACTGAAATTAGAGCAGTTTTAGATTTGCAGAAAAATTAACCAGAAGGTGGAGCATTCCCATAATCCTCCTCCTCCCCATCCTCTGTTTGTTGGCTACCATCTTGCATTACTTCTATACCTTCATCATGATTGGTGAACCAATGTTGATATAAGCTCATTAACCAAGGCCCATAGTTTATAATAGGTTCTTTTTTGTATATTCTATGGGCTTTGCGAAGCAGACACGTGCATATATCCACCATTACAATATCATACAGAATAGCTTTCATTGCCTTAAAAGCCTGTTTATGGAGAGAGACAAGAGAATCCCAGGAACTTTCAAGCCAGTCAGTCAAGATGAATCAGTAAACTCTGGGTTCAGTAAGAGGTCCTGTCCTAAAATATAAGGTGGAAACCAGTGCTACATAGTGAGTCCCTTCTCAGAAACCCAAATATACAGGTAGAAAGTGATTGAAACAGACACGTGACAGAGACCTCTGCCCTCCTCATGCATATACACACACATGCATGTACATCTCAGACACACAAAATAAATAATAAACAAGAACCTGCTATAAACATATGTGTGGGGAGTAGAGGGTTACCTCAGTGGCAGAGCACTTTCCTAGCACAACAAAAATCAAAATTTAAAAGCAAATCAATAAACACCTGTTTGACCTTGAACTCCCTCAGCCTCCTGAAGCATGAGGAATCAATTTCTGCCCCTTATTGATTCCCCAGTTTCAAGTATCTTTAAATAACAGCAGGAAGGGACTAAGACACCAGTAAGAAAACAATGAAATAGGATGCCAGTGTCTGGGCTGGAGAGATAGCACAGTGGTTAAGTGCACTAGCTCTTCTTGCAGAGGACCCCAGTTCGGTTTGCAGCACCCACATCATGGCTAACAGCCATCTGTAACTCCAGTTCCAGGGGATTGGACACCCTCTTCTGGTCCCCACTAGTATTGCATGACATGGGTGCACTTACATGCAGGCAAAAATTCGTACATATGAAAAATAAAGTAAATTAATTAATTTTTAAGTTTTATATTTTGAAAAAATCAAAAGAATATTTCATGTCATGGAATACTTCAAAAGAATATTTCATGTCCATAAATAACATCGTACTGGGCACAGCCATGCTATTGTTTTCTTTATGACCACTTTTGACGACAGAGGGCAGAGTTCAGGAGTTTCAACGGACTGTGTGCTGCTACCATTGCTTTGCACCATTGCCCAGAGTGCCATCAATCGCAGGGAGCTGGTTTCAGCTTGATGGCTTTCCAGCCACCTCTCACCAGATAGTCACATCTCATTTCACTGTTTTATTACCAGTGCATCTTAGTCCCTTCCTGCTGCCACTTTAAAGTGCCTGAAACCGGGGGATGAATAGAAGCAGAAATGTATTCCTCACAGTTCTGGAATTCAAGCAGCAGGCAGATGGGTGTCTGATGAGGCACAAACTCTCTCTGGAGAGCAGAAGGGCAAAAGGTCTGCCTGCTTCTACTCGTCCCTTTATCCACCCTGAGGATCAGCTGCTAAAGGCCCCACCTCTTAAGACTGTTCCACTGGGGAGTGAGTTTCAGCATGAATTTTGGAGGGGACCATGGTATAGTGCGTATACATCATGTTAAACAAGAAAGCTGAGCTTTGCATGTTGTGCTTAAGGTCCGGGTGGAAGGCAGGTTTTGCTAATGAATTTGGTGTCGAGCCATTGCGTTTATTAAGTAGTGACACTGCAGCTGTGTGAAAGGGCAACGCTCTACACTGATAGAGACCGATCACTTGTCACAATATTCTCAATTCCCAGCAAAGCAATGATGAGGAAAATTAGAAAATCTCACCACTGCAGGGTGTCTGGAAGTGAAAATGAGGCTGCAATCAAATTAAATTTCCAAGCAGTCCATTTACGAACCAAACAAGGAAAGCCATTTACCAGTTAATTAAATCATGTTTGACTGCAGCCACTAAAGGAAGCGTGTCCAGAGAATATAAACTTGTTTAAGGTCATTATTCTTTCTGCAAAATCATTGCTCGAAATTAC